AACCTATAGGGGGCGTCACTGAGCATTCATCCATCTTCATATAGTCTGAACCTGCTCTCCAGCATGTTCTCAATGTTTAATGTGGGTTTCTGTTACCATTATCTGATGTATCTCTCGTGTAAGAGCTGATAAAATCCTTCTTTTGTGCAAAAATCCTTTTAAAGTTTATCTGAAACAAGTACAAAGCTTCACCTGAGTTTTTGTTAAGTTTATGTTTTTTTTTACTATTCCTCAGCAAGGACTCACTTTTTCTGGAGACCCAGTAGAACATTTTCTCCATCTGCACATACAGCGAACATTTGAGGTATTTTAGTTTTTAAAAAAACGGCTCCACAGACGTCAGTCTGAAGCTGACACAAGCAGCTTCTCGTTTCCAGCCTGCAGCCGTTGATCAGCTGAAATGATGCTGTCCCCAGCAGATTTTATCAGCAGTGTGCGGCGAGCTAATCAAGCTAATTGTGAGTGCACGAGTGAGCTGAAAACGCCGTCCACAGCTGACTTTTCCAGCTGACTCATTTTAAAGCGAGGAGGAGTTTCAAAGTTGCACTTGACAGCTTGAGATTGTGCTAAAAGGCTGCTGCTCAAGAAATAAAGAAACAGGAGTCGTCTTGTGTTTTAAATATCAGGAAGAATTAAAGGTATCCAAACATGACTGTGTTGAGGCAGAAGCTGTTGCTGGATTTCTTCCCCATCATCTTTACTTTTCTTCATGTCTTTACTAACTCGTTTCTGGTATTAATCTGTTTTTCTGTGCAGGATAACTTGTGGAAATATGCCCTGAACAGCAGGTTGAACCAGGCTGCCATCAGAGCCTTCGACATGACCTTCATCATCGGCCACAAATCCTACGAAGGCTACGAGTACTACGACTTCTTCGACCAAGTTTTCGAAAGACTGAAAGAACACCCGTTTAGAAGCAACCTGTCGTCCGAGAGAGAGGCAAGTCTGAAAACTGTTGACAGGAAAACGATCAGCTGTTTATCCACTTATACATTTATCTCCCTGATTTAATTTACTTCAGGTCAGCCCCTACTCGGCCTACCTGCATGACGCTGTGCTTCTTTACGCGATGGGACTGAAGGAAGTCCTGAAAGACGGCAAGAATCCTTACGACGGCCGGCACCTCCTGCAGAGATTAAAAAACAAGCGCAGCATTCGATTTTATGGTAGCTATGGCCTTTAATATCTGTATTATGAGGTTCAAACTATAATTTTGAAGGATCTCAGCCTTTATTTTTATAGCAGTGAGGTAATATGGTATTGTATACGATAGAGATGTTCCAATCCAGATCCTGAGATCAAGGAACTGTGCAACTGATCGGTATCCTCACAAACTTAACCACAATCCTTTATTATGTCTGTGGATACTGCTGTTTTAATTTGCAGACACATGATTTGTGCCACAAAAACAGCAGCTACTTAATATGCTGCGCTACAGGAAAACAACCTTATGTGATACCAGCTTGATTGACCTCTTTAGCTCTAGTCAAGGGTCATTAAGCGTCACATTGGTCTAAACTAAACTCCTGTAATGTGCTCTGCTTTCCAACACAAAACTACCCCCAAAACTATGGAGGGCCAAACCTGCCATAATTAAAAATAAATAAATGAATAAATGAGGAAATGAGGAAGAGTGGGAAAATAAATATGTGCACATTAGGAAAAGCGGAAAACCAAAAAATAAATGCAGAAATAAATAAATGAGGAAATAAAATTAATAGATGTGGAAATAAAATAAATGAACACGAATAAAACCAAGTGTAAAAATAATCAATCACTGTGGAAATAAATATAGTAGGTATAGTAGGTAAAAAAAAATAAAAATTGATGAATAAATGGATAAATGAAAGGAAAATGTAAAAAATGACATATATTTAATTATTTATTTGTTAATTATGACAGGTTCAGCCCACCAAACAAAATTACAGCATTCAAACATAAAAGGCTCCACTTGGTGGCTCAAACAGGTACTACAGCTAATCTACGATATTAAAATGTGTATATTATTATATATATTGTATATGTTCTTATTTGAAAACGGTATTGGGTATCTGCGGATATTAAATATTAAATGATAGTCGTGAGGTAATTTGGTAAAGTACATACTATTAACATTTAGGTTAGTCAGGTGCTTGTCTTTACATCTCAGCAGGTTCTAGTTTCATTTTCTCGTTGATTCATGAAAATCACTTCTTAGGCAGTTTGTTGTTGGAATGGTGTTTCCATACAGGTGCTTCCGGACTAGTCCACTTTGACGAGGAGGGGGAGAGAAATCTGGACTATTCCATCTACGACCTGCAGCACACAGGGGACACCACCAAGTTTGTGCCCATCCTGCACTTTGACAGTCACACCAAAGACGTCCGGTAACAAACACTTGTGCCGTCAAACGAAGCACGTGAATCCGGTTTGAATCCTGAATTCTGCCTTTTTACTTCCACCGCATACATTTCAGACCGACGTCTATGTTTGCTTCCATGGTGTGGCCCAAAGGACGGCCTCCCTCTGACATCCCAGAGTGTGGCTTCAACAACGAGCTGTGTGAATGGCTGCGTAATGGTGAAGCCTTCCCGTTAAAACACCAACATTACAACTGTTCACAAAGCCATTAAAGCTAAGCTAACCTCGTCGTCATTTCCTGTGCGACAGACGTGGCCCTGCTGGCTCTGCTGGTCACCTTCCCCGTCATCGGCATCCTCGCGCTGTTGTTCATCGGTGTTCTGATGCTGCAGAAGCTGCGACTGCAGACGAGGCTGGACGACTCCTGCTGGTGGATGATCAGCTACAGCGACATCACCATCATCAGGGAGCCCTCGGTACGAGCAGATAGAAAAAAAAAGTCAACAGAAACCGCAGAATTAAAATAAAAAACGTCCCCACTATCAAATAGGCGTCTTTACGCTTGGCTGAGGTGGTTTTTTACTTTTTGACAGTTGGCGAGCAGCTGTTTTTGTTTCCGGTAGGGCTCAACGATTAAAATATCTAATCCTGGTTTGATTTGCAATATTCATCCATCATCTATAGACCGCTTAGTCCTCATTAGGGTCATGGGGGGCTGGAGTCTATCCCAGCTGACTCAGGGTGAAGGCAGGTTCACCTGGACAGGTAACCAGTCTATCACAGGGTTACACTTAGAGACAGACAACCAAGCACACTCACATTCACACCTACGGACAATTTACAATCACCAATTAACCTCAACATGTTTTTGGACTGTGGGAGGAAGCCGGAGAACCCGGAGAGAACCCACGCTGCACGGGGAGAACATGGAGACTCCACACAGAAGGATCCCGGGTGTCCTCACCGGGACGCGAACCGACAACATTCTAGCTTGTGTTCCTCAAGTTTTTTGTTTTTTTTTGAGAACTGATTTTGTTTCTGCTTCCTTCATGTCTAATTATTGCAGCGATGCGTAATGTAGCCTGTAGCGCCACCTTCTGGTGAACTATGTAGCCTAGCCTAATTCATGTTTTATTGTTTTCTTTTATTTTTCGCAACATTTGGAAAGTTTTCTTCAAATTTGCTTCACATTTATGTGTCCATCACGGCTACTGAGTGTGTTTTCTTGTGTCCGTGTCCATGTTTGTTGTGTTTCTCCTGCAGGGAGGTCACGGTGTGTCCTTCAGCACCACCTGCAGTCAGAGTGGAACTGGAAGTTCTATCTCCAGTTTCTCCAACAACAGCTTTGGTCTGAGGGACAAGATGGGAAAAGAACACGTCTACACCACCATCGGTCTCTACCAGGTAACACTGAGTTTACAGCAAAAAATCTGTTTAAAGTGGAGAAACGCTTCCAAGGCCTTTACAGTTACAGAAACGTAGCAGAACGCAACTAAATAAGCAGCTTTTGTCGTTGGTTCTGCTTCTGTTTCAACAATACATCCAGAGTACCAACATCAGAATTGTAGCACTAAATCAAGTTCAGGTTTATTCTTCAAGATAAAGTCTAAGCGCCAAAATCTGCAGTTCCTCAAATGGCCACTTGAGGCTGGTTCCCAAACTGAGTCAGTCCCCATGTTAGACCCCCAATGTCAAAAGTCCAACTTCACAGCATAAATAAAGAAGTTTACCGCCTGGTTTTGGTCTCTACAGCTAATTACCTCATTCATGACAACTGTACCGGAGGGGAATTTGTACATAGCTCACCCATTTAAACTCTATTGAGGCTTAAAGTGAAAAATAATCATGTTAGAGCTCTTGTCCTGCTACGAAAGTTTTATTTAAGAAGTTGTTGTTGAAGTAAAAAACATGCTTACATCGCTCTAAAAAGGTTTGAAAAAGGTTTTTGTTTTGTATCAGAACACAAAGTGAAATATTGGATCAACATTAGTATTAAATCGTTTTAAATAAATAGTAGTTCAGTGCATCTCAACGCACAGCCAGAGATCGTGTCACTGCCCAGTTCAGGTGTTCTCAGGGGGAAAGAAGGCGACAGCTGAGCTGCAGCGTGACAGATGCTTTAGAAAAACTGCTGCAAGACAATATTCTGATTCAGCTAACTCAGCGTGTTTATTTCCAAATATCCTGAAGCGTTTAGAAAAGCTTAGCGAGTAGATTCTACCCCCAGTGTCTTCAGCATCGCTTCAGCTTCCAGGTGATGAAATAATTCACGTAGTTAGAAGTTTTATGCTGACCTGACGGTTCTCTAAATCTTCCCTCATGCTGAATTTGGCACTTTTAACTCATCACTAGCAACACCACACTGGTAACCAATGCAGGAGCATGAGAGCAGAGGAAAACATCTGCAGTTGGTTGGTGACAATCGTGTCAAATTTCTTCAAAGAAGCCTCCCAGTTTATAAAGCACAGCAAAAAAAATACAGAGCAGAACCTAAAACCGATACCTTAACAGTTACTGATATGGACTATGGGACGTTCCAGGTGATTAGTCTTCAAGTTCTGTTTGGTTAAAACAACTTAATAAAGTCAGGACGCTCAGTAATGTCAGATTAGACCTCTCATGACTAACGGCTTCACCAGACTGAATAAGACTGGAGCAGCACCGAATTAAGAAGAAACTTTTATAACCTGAAGAAGTGTCACATATTCGTCAGTATCTGATTTCTTGCAGGGGAATCAAGTGGCTGTCAAGTACATCAAGAACCCCATTTGCTGTAATTTCCAGAAACCTTCGATCGTCACAGAGTTCAACGTGGTAAAGTTCCTCATTTTGTTCCAGATCAAACATCAACGTTGACTTTCTGGTTTTGTATATAATGTCAACAGCTTGTATTCTTTAAGACATCTTAATGAGGAATAGCAGGATTATTGGCAGATATATCGTGTCCTAACCATCTTGAACTCTTCAAGACAGATGAAAGAGATGAAACATGAGAACCTGGTGCAGTTCTTTGGCGTTTGCATCGACCCCATCTGTCTGGTCATCCAGTACTGCAAGAAAGGCAGTCTGAAGGTCGGTGCAGGAAATACCGACGCAAATTTAAGGTAAAAACGCATCAAACTTCAATATGTTCAGTCTCTCTGGTGTGACTTGTCTGCAGGACATTCTGAAGGCTACAGACGTTGAGCTGGACGGGATGTTCAAGCTGTCCTTCGCGTACGACATTGTCAACGTGAGTCTTGGTTTATGGAGCAGGTTTTTTGCTTTAAGTTTGCACATGAACAACTCAAGTTTTGCAAAGCCAGAGCAAGGACTTTAGAAGAAATGACGTGACAAAGAAATGGTGGGAAAGAAGAAAAAAGTTCAAATAAAAAAACAGCAATAGTATCAGTGAAGAAAAGAGAAAAACTTTGAATACAATCAAAGAAAACACAAACTATTGATAAAGTCTAGAAGTCTTTGGATTTCCTTTATTCAGTAGCCTGTGTTTGGTGAACCAATATAGGTTCAATAATATGAATACAGTTCATATTTAATAATTTATGTTTTCAATAAATTATATTCACTGAATCATGTTTTCTGTATGCTTGCGGCAAAAACGGAACCCTTTATTAATTTTTTTGTTGCTCGTCAGTTCTTAATATGTTCAACTGAAATGAAACTGTAAGAATCCGCCACGAAAATACCGACATTAAATAGTTTTTTTTTTTTTCAAAAATTGAAACCCCCATTTGGCTGCTAAAAAGGAATAATTCCCAGAAAACGATATATGGATGGATGTGCACTTACCCTATGAGGTCAGAAATGTTCATATATTAAACTTTGTAATGTAAGAAAACCTATAATTTGATGACTATGTATGCAGTGATGCTGCATGACTTCATAAAAGTGACTGAAAAGGGAATAAAATGATCACAAAGAGGAATGTCAGGAGACTGAACTGTAACTTTGAACCGTTGTCAACAAACTAAGTCGACGAAATATCGTGAAATTTTAGTTTCTGACTCTCTTCTTATTCCAAATGGTAGGACTGATTTTGTCACTGTTTTATGGATAAATTAAACTTTTCATGGTATCAGTCCATTTATCTGTGGTCCAGGGGTTGGAGTTCATTCACAAAAGCAGACTAAAGTTTCACGGGAACCTGAAGCCGAGCACATGTCTGGTGGACAGTCGGCTCCAAATCAAACTGTCCGGCTTCGGGCTGTGGGAGTTTAAATACGGCAGCAAGAGCAAAACCATCCCACTGGAAAACCCCAATTACGCAGGTGAAATCCTAAATCCGTCTGCATTTATGTTTATGTCAGCGCAAAGGAGAAGTAATGCATGTGAGCTGGTTTGGATTTGCTGCAGAGATGTACTGGACGGCTCCGGAGCTGCTGAGGCAGGTCGGCCTGCTGGTCAACGGGACGCCCAAAGGTGACGTCTACAGCTTCGCCATCATCCTGTGGGAGCTCATGTACAACTCCAAGGCTGGGCCGTATCAGGACATCAACCTGGACCCCAAAGGTGGGCAGGACTTTCTTTAACAACGTATAATTTCTAAGCTGCAACTCAGCGTCGTATAAGAACCTTGTTGAGGAAACATTCTGAGACTTTTTACCATCAGAACATGTAGGTTTTGCATTATCCAGATCCCATAATTTGGGGTCTTTGGAGGATGTAAACAGTTAAGCTGCAGCCAACAGAAGAAAGTCTTGGTGGACTGAAGCCCTTTAACTAATGAATTAAATGTTCCACAGAGCTTTGAGTGCACTTCACCTGCAGCCGTACTAGCCTAAATGGATTCTATATCAACATATAAAGCTGGCAATTGCAGCAGATTGAATCATTGGACCCTGGTTATTTTATACTGAAATGATAGGAACTGAGTCTGAGCAGACCAGCAACACATGTTCATATCATTTATAAAAACATATCAGCGGGTGATCAAAGCACAAAAAACTATTCAGGAATAAAACAAGTCATCAGCTGGTTTTAGACGATCTGACATGTTGGTTGTTGAGCTGATAACAATCTGCTGTTTGCAAACAGAATGCAAAAATACCGACGACTTCTTTGGGATTCCGAGTTCAGCGTTTAGTAATTTACACCTAACAGTCTCCATCAGGTTGGACCAGTTCAAAGCTGTGGAAACGTTGGGGAACTCACTGGTGGTCCGTTCCTTCCATTGCCAAAAATAATGGATTAATCCTTGAAGTTTTTCTCTTCAAATCAGTTAATATTTTGGTTAAATGAGAGCTAATGAACCAACCAAGTGACCAACACTGTTCACACTGTAGTAGTTATACAGAAAACTATGACTTTATACTTACACTTATTATACACATAATACTGCAAAGGTACCAAAACTGTGTGGCTGGGTTTGTTAGAAATATGGTTTGTTATGAAATACGACCGTTTCACAGCATGTTGGACGCTTGTCCTCCATTGTATGAATGATGACTCTTATACATGATAACTTCCTGAGAAGCATAGCGTGACACTCCATCCAGAGCTGAGATATTTCAGACCACAGCTGACCAAACACCAACCCCTTCCTCCAGAGATTATCATGCAGCTGAGGACGCCGTTCCAAGGAGAACCTCTGCGACCGGTTCTGTCCGAGCAGCTGTGCGAGGAGAACATCAACACCCTGCTGAGGTCCTGCTGGAACGAGAACCCGGACCACCGGCCGCCATTCGGGTCCATACGGAGGAGGCTGAGGGACACCAGTCCAGACAGGTTCGGACAAACACGAGCTGCTGGTTTTTTTTGTTTTCCTACATGAACCACACTCCAAAATATTCATTTGATATCAGATTTAAACTAATTTAAATAAATCTTTTTTTTTACTTCAATATAAAGTCCTGAACCTCTATGGAAACAGAACAACATGACTAGAAGGAGAGAGAGAATGACACGACACAATCAGAATGACAGAAATCGCAAAAAGAAAAAACTGAAGTTCAATTCAGAGAAATCCTTATTTGCAAAAATTGAACAAAAACCTTAAATCAACATCCATCCATCCATTGTCTACACACCGCTTAGTCCTCACTAGGGTCATGGGGGGCTGGAGTCTATCCCAGCTGACTCAGGGTGAAGGCAGGTTCACCTGGACAGGTAACCAGTCTATCACAGGGCTACACTTAGAGACAGACAACCAAGCACACTCACATTCACACCTACGGACAATTTACAATCACCAATTAACCTCAGAAAGATCCCGGGTGTCCTCACCGGGACGTGAACCGGCGACCTTCTTGCTGCGAGGCAACAGTGCTAACCACTGCACCACCTTGCAGAACTCAGATTTGGTTACTTTTCCAGAAGTCCCACATGATTAGTTCAAGGACCGTTGGAAAGTTGAAAATCCAACAGGTTTAATTTCTGCTTTTACAGTTTCTGGCTCTGATGAATGGTGTCATTCTGGTAATGTTTTTAAAAACAACAAGCCTTTGAAACCCACCAGTGGGGTTCAGAGGCTTAAAGGATCAATAGATAAAATGGTCATGTGGTAACATTAAAGATCCTGATGAGCAAGTCCTGTTGTTCAACAGTTATTTCTGGCTTGTAACACCAACTGTGTATCTAAATGAATGGGAAGAGAACCACAGCAGTACTTTTAATGCTTACCAGGGCAAAAAAACTGCGTGGAAATTTAAAATCACTGTTGAAATATGATTCAAGAAAACACTTAAAAAGTTCAGTGAAGTGTCTTTTTCTGGTTATGTTTCTGCTACGTACAGTTTCAGACGCGCGTCATACGACCACCATCTTTAGATTTCAGTCATAGATTTCTATTCGGGATTGTTTTAGTGACAACGCTCTCCCTCGAAACTTACCGAAATCTGTTTTGAGATTTGCGTCTGACAAATTAAACTTGTTGACAGCAGTGATCAAGACTTTCTGTTCTGCAGTCATGCAAACATCCTGGACAACATGGTGGACAAGCTGGAGAAGTACGCCAACCACCTGGAGGAGGTGGTGGAGGAGAGAACCAATCAGCTCACAGCGGAGAAAGCTCGTGCAGACAAGCTTCTGTCCAGCATGCTACCAAGGTACCAACACCAACTGTTCTGTGTGTGTTTTTAATCACCGACAGACTCTCCTCACCTGGTTTCGCTGGTTGCAGGTACATCGCCGATCAGCTGATGGCGGGAAACTCGGTGGAGCCGCGGAGCTACGACCTGGTGACCATCTTCTTCTCCGACATCGTGGGCTTCACCTCCATGTGCTCCGTCAGCTCGGCGATGGAGGTCGTGACCTTCCTCAACGACCTCTACAGCCTGTTCGACGACATCATCAAGATGTACGACGTCTACAAAGTACGCGATGCAGAGTCTGTGAACTGTAAAGCAGATGATGGGAGAATAATTGTGTTTTAGTTCATGATATTCTTGCAAACACATGAGAACTGTCATATTCTTTAATTCTGGAAACTACAACTGGCCTCCAGTAAATTTAGCTTTGCAAAAATTGGAACCTGGGAAACAGCTAATGTGGATCTGTTAAAAAGCTACAAAATATGCACGAAAACAAGTCAGAAAATCCACCTCCGATCCCCTCTAAAGCTCATTCATGTCAACATTAAACCTTTGATTTTTAATCCCTACAATAGAAACAACCAGCCAAGAAATGTTGCAATAAATATTTAGCTTTTGAGGTGTTGGTCGGCAGATTTTGCCTCCATTGGACAGAGCCAGGTCTACTGCTGCCCCTGTTTCTAGACTTTATGCTAAGCTAAGCTAACCCGCTACTGGCTATATTCATTATAATTGTCCAGACATGACGACAGCACCAATCGCTGCATCCACCTCACAGCAGAAAGCAGATTTTCAATTGTCAAACTATTCTTTTAAATTGTGGCGATAGCATTTTGTCTGTAATTTTCAAAATTGTCGTCTTTGTGAGGTGGAAACAATCGGTGACGCCTACATGGTTGCCAGCGGTTTGCCGCTCAGCAACGGCAACAAACACGCCTTGGAGATATCCACCATGGCTCTACACTTCCTGAGGTCCATCAAGGTCTTCCGAATCCGTCACATGCCGATGGAGAGTCTCGCGATTCGTGTCGGGATTCACTCTGGTAAGAAATGGAGATGACTGAAGCTCAACTGAGCTAATTTAGCATCTTCAGAAACCCAGTGTTTGGTTTTGTTGGTGGGTTTTTTTCCAACTAGAAGAAAGAGGTCGTATTTGCATATTTTTCATGTGCTATTCAACATTTGTTCATAGTTTAGTAAATGAAATGTTTTCTTCAGACAAGTGACCACCAGAAGGTTGCCAACATACTTGTCATTAAGTTAAAACATTTGGGAAATGTTTAAAATGAGATATTCTAACAATCATCTGTGGTTTATTTGTAGGTCCAGTGGTTGCTGGAGTCGTGGGAACCACGATGCCTCGCTACTGTCTCTTTGGTGACACAGTGAATATGGCCTCTCGCATGGAAAGCAACAGCTTACGTGAGTGAACTGTTTAGCAGCATTGATTCATTGAAACCATCAGTACCGCGGTTTCCTTATTTAATCCTTCAAGGTCAGACTGTGAATACGATATTTGCTGCTGTATTGTAACGGTGTAAGAACAAAAGTGGTTATTTTCGATGTAGACGGTAGTTTGTAGCCAGAAAAGTGACAAAACGGACAAACGTCTGGTCAATGAACCATTCTGGTCAACACTGACACCTCAGCAACTCAATGGACGCTCATGCTTTCCAGAGGATGGACAGTCCTACCATAAAGTTTGCATCGTTAGCTTTAACAAGATATTTTTGAAACCATTGGACAGCTCATCAATGCATTTTCTATAGATATTCATTGTCCCTTGAGGATACATTCATTGATGATACCTTAGCTTTTCATCTAGTGGTGCCCTCAGGTAGGACTTTGTCCAGTTATTTGGTTTATACCTGCAAAACGACCTCATCCTCCTCGAGCACAGCTGTGTTTGCTGGTTAGTGCTAATAAACAAATGCTAGCATGCTAGCAGGCTACACTAAGATGCTAAACCTGTTAAATATTACAGGTTGTGATCACAAAGTTCAGAATGAAGCAATGAATGATCACGCACACGCCACACATGTGAGCAGGAACTGTTTTTAGCCGAGATTCTGAGTGCGTTATGAACAATTTTGCATCCGTTTAGTTGTGCATTTGCAGTTTCACTGTGGACCTGCGGAGGCAGCTCAGGGCCAAATTCAGAAAAGGCTTTCGTCATCAGGCCCACCTTCGTGTTGAGAACCATCACTGTTGATGAGATTTGAGTCTACGGCTGCAAGCAAAAGCAGATGTCAGTGGAAGAGCTCGAGTCCAAGACTGTCGAGAGCGCTTTAAGTCGGAAACAGAACGAGGAGATTTTCCTCAGCATTGGTGGGGTGTTGCACCATGAAATCGTAGCTCAGGGTTGGACTTTCAATGCTGTGTTCTACTGTAACATCCTGAGGAAAACATTCGACTCAAACGACTGAACTGTGACGGTAATTTGGTGCTCCAATACGGCAAAACGTGCATTAGTGCCACCTAGATTTGAAATGAAATTGGACTTAAAGGGTTGGCATGTTTGGCTCAGTTTGGGAGATCAAGCGGCCTGTGCAGATAATGCAGTTTACAGGAAGTGCTGCAGGAACACTGGGAGCAGAGCATCACCGCACCGAGGTACAGCTTCAAATTCAAATCAGACTCTGAACGTTTTGGTTGCAGCTTTTTCTTTCTAAACATCAACTTGTTATCGTGTTAGGATGTCGGCACAGGTCGACTTGAAAAAAACAACAACTACCTAACCAAATTCTAAATGCACATCTGTATGTTCGATGCAGCCATGAAGATTCACATTTCCCAGAGCACGGCCGACATCCTCGTCCAGGAGGGATCGTTTGAGCTGGAGGAAAGAGGAGAAATCGAGATGAAGGTGACTCCTCTGCATGTTTTGTTTTTTTCTCCCCAACTGAAAGTGCCGTTGACATGCATGTCTGTGTCCACGGCAGGGTAAAGGCTATCACAAGACCTACTGGCTGCTCAACAAGATCGGCTTTAATCCTCCTCTCATCGTCCACGACTCTCCGCCGGCCGACAGCGTCAAAGTAAAGTCAGACGAACAGCCACAGTCAGTTTTAACAGAACCGTATCGAGTGTGTAAACCCATGTTGTATTTTTTATTTTTTTTTTAATCTGTTTTTCTCTGCAAGAAACCAGGAGTGGCCAGAGCGGCGGAAAGAAAGGCCCAGAAGACCCTGAGCAACGCTCACGTGGCAGAATGCACCATGACGGCGGTGCACATCTGAAGAAGAGGTTCTGAGCGTATTTTCAGTGGAACATGTGACAGTTTAATAGGTCCAACAGAACACAAACAGAACACAAACAGAACACAGGGCAAATGGATGGAAAGTGCAAAACTTCAGGAGTCTGTATTGCAAAAAGTTCTCGTTAAACAATGATGGTCTTTACTCTTTTGCATTTTAATACAATTACAAATCCACTCTTCCGCATTTGATTCGATGCTAATATAAAAAAACGACTGATGAATGCTCATCTGAACTGTTTTTGGAGCACATTTGATTAAATGGTTTTTCTTATGCAATAGCTAATTTTCTGTAAGTTAGAGTTTCTTCTTACAGCTGAAGAGACAGTTTCTTACAATAATATCCATCATCCAGCGGCGCACAGTGGAATAAATGAGGTTTTATTACTGTGTTGAAAAAACTCATTCTGTGCCTTTTTTTTTTTTTTAAACATTATGATTGCAAAACAGTCCAAAAATAGAAAACCAACTTTAAAAACTTTCCACAAAACAATCATAAATCACAGGCAAATGTGTTGTACTAACTTAGACCGTCTCATCCAGGCTTTTCAGCACCAAAATTAATCAAATATTTCACTTTTTGATAAAACTTTTTTTAGTTATTCTCTGATATAATCCCAGTGAATCTGAAGTCAGAGCAACTCTAACTCCAGAAACACAGAATATTTAGAAGAATTTAAATCCTTTATAGATGTGATGCTCAAAAACAACTATTTTAAAAATTAATATTTATTACATAAAAATGCCTTAAACTCTCTTTCTACCAAGCTGCGTATAATTAGCTCTCTGATGTATGTTTGTTGTGTCGCCGTCATGTCGAAAGTCTAAAACACTGTGAAAATCCCTCGAATAAAGTTCAAAACAAAACAAGATTGTTGTTTCTTTAAAGGTTTCAGTGAATGTTTATTGGAGAAAGCAGTGAAACGATGTCACGAGATGATGAAAAGCGTCCGTCAATGTGCTAAATAGGGGGATTTGTGTTCCTGTGTTGGAGGAGGAGGAGTGTTTTAGACGCTCCCTGAGTCCTGGCTGACGCTCCCCTCCGGTCCGGACGGACAAACCTTTCGCTACATTCTGGATCCGTTCACTAAATCACAACACGAGTTCACCAGGACCAGCAGCAGCATCAGTAGCGAGGTGCCTGGAGGCGGAAACACCGCGTCAAATGTCAAAAAAAAGAGATGATATGAGCTGAGATGAAGCTCTGAGGGCCTTAAAACCTCACGTGGTGGATGTTTTACACACTGATGTGGGTATTTTTAGTTTGAAATATTGTTAAAGTTCTTCCCAACAGATCAGACGTTGAGCTTTTATCCACACCAATATGGATAATTTCACAAAACAGACGTTTGAGCCTCATAATATGCACAAAAACTCAGACTGCAGATTAAAAATAGACTTCATTTGTGTGTCAATGTAAACAACAACTTTTTCTTTTTCTTCATTTAGCATAATTTGTACCTTTTTCTCGCCTATGTGTGTGTGTGTGTGACTGGAAACCTGAATGACCTCAGACAGCTGACGAGGTGACGTATCGATGATGCAGTTCTGCACCAGCAGGCTTATTACAGAGCACCTGTAGTGGTGTCATGCATCTCATATGTACCGAGATGTTTAGCAAAATTATGTTTAAGTGGTTTTTAAACACAAGAGGAAAAAAATCCGTCTAGAAAAATATCCATATTAGTGTCAACGAGGCCTGAAACTGCCCTCAAATCACCTCGTTGCAGGAAGTAAATGAATTACATATCAGTGTTGGAGCTCACACCTTAATCACACCTGTTATTGCATTTGTTTACCTGTTATGTGTCCGTTATTGGAAGATCCGATACCTGTTGAGAGAATACAAACTGCTAATTACAACATTTAAAAACACATTACGTTAAAGTGCACATATTTATTATTAACGAGTTGCTCATTAGCATGTAAATTAGCAGCATATTAGTTCAGTATTCGTCATTATAAGTAACTAAGAGTTTTTTCTCAATAACCTCCTAATTAAAGCGTATTAACAGTAAATAATGAAGCTGTTGAATCATGACTTTAATGTGCTTTGTTCAGGAACAGCTCTGTTATATTAATAGCGCTTCATAAATGTGACAAAACATAAAACTACAAATGTTTAAAGTGTCAAAATAACTTTAATTTCATTCAGTTTGTCTTATTTTACAGAAACGTTTTGCTCTCAGCCAGTTTAAAGCTTCTTTACCCTCCTGAGGTCCTGATTTTAAACCTGCCTCCTCTTCATGTTTCCATTTTAGTGCACAACGGTTTGGAAATGAGCCTTAAACTATCAGCTAACAGGCTAGTAGTTTTAGATAATGATTCTGCAGAATAAAACATTAATAATTAAAATGACTCATACAGTGTCGATATGTTGCTAATTTACATGCTAACGAGCTGCTAGTTTAAATTTGCTCGTGCAACAGGGAGGCTACCAGCAGCACAGGCAGCTAATCCTGTATGTTTTTATGCAAATTTCCTCACTGTGCAATTAAAACAGGCTTGTTTTATCCCATATTATCCCTCTTCGCGTCCTTTTAAACACGTTGAACTGCACCTTTAACGTGAAACTCGGCGGTGAGGATCCCTCCACTCGGCTCGACGTCCGCCGACAGACTCCTCATAGAGCACGGGCTCTTCAGGACAGAAAAGAACAAACCGTCTGATGTTTGATTTGTTAGTGTTCCTGCATTTACCTAAAGTTTAAGGAACTTTCTCTGCCTTTAATTTGAAGGACCGATGTGTCTTTAATGTTATCAGTAACGTCTGCGGCCTTCACTGGTCAACATGTGTGCAAATTTCCAAACATTTTAAGACAAAGTGCGCGACATGTCATGGCTGTCCTCACCGGCTGGCACACCAGTCTCTCTCCGTCGCACACCTGAACCTCGCAGTGGAGCCACACGGTGGAAACCTTCTCCAGCCGCTGGAACCGGAACGAGTTGAACTTGAACATGGAGCGGCTGTCTTTGGCGTTTTCGAAGATGGTCACGGTGTTGTCGGAGGAGCAGCTGGAGGGAAGAAACAAACGGCGTTACGATAAAGAAACGGGACTCGACGGCAGGCGTGTGAAGCTCTCCGTTAAAGTCACCTGTTGATGATGAGACTCCACCTCTTCCTGTCGGTTGAATAAGGAGTCGGAGTCGCCCAGCAGTTGCTGATCACAACTTTGAATCTGAGAAGAAAAAGTCAGTAATGGTTCAAACACCTTAAACATTCTGATGAAAAAGCTCTTTGGGGTTTTTTATGCATGTGAAAGATCTTCAAACTTTCAAACTTCGCCTCATCTGAATGTGTTTATTGAGGAATTGGATCTGAAACAGTTCATGGAAACAGATCATTTTAATAAAAAACTGACTTTTTGTGTCAATGTGCTTCATGGGAGATGGACAGACCTCATTAACCTCACATGTCTGATCAGCTCCAGAAAGCACGCAACATGATCAATACCTGCTGATATGAAGGAACAATCACAGTTTTCCTCATTATGAACAGATCCTGAAGACTTCTCTCCACTTTTTGTTGCGCATAATTGTCAACACTTTTCTTGCTTCTTCTTCTTCTTTTCGGTATTTTTAGTGATTGGAAGTGGTTTTGCTTCTGGCTTCTTCTACTCTGTTCATTCCAGCTAACGTAGGCTACAGCGCCACCTTCTGACCACAGCCTACTTATAGTCATCTCCTGTTTTCTTGACAGTTACTCAGCCGTCCTCTCTACCAGAAAGCATTCACCTTGTTCAAAGTTCAGGAAATCAGAAAAGAAACTGCTTTGGAAAGAAAACCCTCGGCCGCGTAGCGTCGTCACAAGGTGGCGCTGTGGCCTACGTTAGCTGGAATAAACAGAGTAGAAGAAGCAGGAAACAAAACCAGCTGTGTGTCAACTGATAAAGACAGCTTGAAGAAGAAGGAACAAACAAAACTTTGTCCATCTGTGAGAGAAAAATGGAGAGAAGTCGACAGGAACTGCTTTAGTTTGGGAAAGTTGTGATTATTATTTCAAATCAGTTGGCATCATGAGAGACAAGATCGCATCAGTCAGTTAAACGTTTGCTGCATCAGAACTTGTTTAAAAATGGAATTTCTGTCTCCCATTAACGCTTTAGAATCTTAAAAACCTTCCCAAGAAACAGCAAAAAGTCGAGAAACTGGAAAAATGTGTTCAGATGTTGGCATTTCCATGAACTTTTTCACATGCGATGCTTCAAAATTATGAGAAAAATGTGAGTTTGGAACATTAAAGTGTGCAAACATATTCTAGTGAACCCCGAAAAGGTCATTATTAGCCTGTAAATGAGCCTAACATGGGCTTTTTATGAAGAATATCTTAAAATGTGAGGACAAACCTGTTACTTAGACCTTTAGCCTCGATGCCGATAAAAACTTCAGAGCCGATCTCAGAAGTGTCGATCACATACGGAGCGTCTTTAGCGTACAGGAACTTTGAATTCTGGAAAATATTTGCATTCCTTCTGTCATCTTTCATTTGCGTCCGACGCCTGTAACAAGTTATTTTACACCCTTTCCAGACAGAAATGATCATAGAACACGTGTAAAAACAGCATTAAACATGTCGCTCCCACTGCAGAAAGCGTGCGAGCCGCTACTCACCGTGAACACGTTCATAGACAACTGTGATCTAAAAGTGCCTAAACTCCCATTGTTGACATAAACTGTAGCCACTCTGGAAAAAGCAGAGGGTTTAGTAAAAACGCTGCAAGTCATTGGGTCAGAATGCACACATCATCCACACAGTAGCGTCTGTCGCCCCGCGGCCTGAACCGGTGCTTACCTTTGGCTGAACACCGCGTTATTTACCAGGTAGGCTGCTCGGTACATGCAGCTGAAGGTGTAGTTCACTGGCTGGTTCCGGACCGTCAGCGACGTGTCGTTGGACACGATCGAGTTGTAGAAGATGTACTTGGGGTCTTTGCCGGGCATGTACTGTGGAGAATATAAAGGTATTTGGATTGTTTACTGAAGTTAAAGTATGAATATGATCCAAAAATAAACCAGCTCTGCTTAAAAACCTGCATTCTTCCTAATAGCCAGCAGGGGGCGACTCCTCTGGTTGATTACATAGAAGTGTAACAGAGAATGACTCTACTTCTCACTTGGTTTTTTATTTAAGTAAACACTTTCGCAAGAAGTGTATGAGTTCAATCTCTACTTTTAAGTCTCCTTCAATACGGCGTGATGTTCATTTTGTAAATTTTGGTCCCATTTAAAGGCAAACAGACAACAAACGGGGCATATTTTGAGGCGTGCTGCTGTCATGTTGACTTGATGGACGCATAACAACGTGTAGCTGAAGCACATTTGAATACCTGAGAACTTGTTTTTAGATGTTTTCAAAGTTTGACCCTGTTTCATTTTCAGTTCAGGAAAGTTAACATTTTGATCGCCCAAAAATGTCTTGTTTTGATTTTGTTGTACTTAAAGATACTCAAAGAAGTCAGCTGTTCATTTTTTCTAGTGAGTGTTTTCAGTTTTAGGCCCGTTTTTCGCTTCATAAAATAAGCATTGCAAATAATATTAGCAGTTAACATGAATTACGAAGGCACCTTCAGTGCTAGCTGAAAACTTAGCCAGCGAAAAGTCACAAACCCTCTGAAACGCAAAACCTGAAGGCAGGTTTATAAGTTGTTTTGTTTTGTTTTAATCGCCAAAGTGCACCATTCATCTGCAAGAAACTGTAAAAACAGAAAAAAAACGATGAGAATTTGGTTCTTGAACTGTTCGTCTGTGACGCGCAGTCACAATCTAAGCATGACATTTTTGTATTTTATCAGAATCACTTAATTCTATGTGACTCGTCTGAAAACTCCCCCAAAAATAAAGCGTTTGTACCCGATTCTAAAAGAAACAAAACAAATTGTGCGCTCTTCAGCACAACTGCGAAGTCACGACTGACTGCTGAGACCGACAGTCAGGTGGCAACGGACAGTTTTCAGATGAACTGCAGTCAATGTTTCCACAAAATAAACACAGCATGGCTTAAAAACCAGTGAACAGAGGAGCGAGTTGTTGGATGATACAGTCAGAACCATCTTTGTTTTGTTTTGTTAACAGTATTGGAAACACCTGTAGACACTTGTAAAATACTGTATATGTGGATTCCAGGTTTTTTCTTTTTTTTGTGGTCGGTTTTCGCTGCCTCACCTCGGACTGAGTGCCGCAGTACGAGTGGTTTCTGGGCGTCAGGTCGGGGATGATGAAGCGGTAATAACCCGGACTGTGGATTCCCGTGTAGCAGACGCCGCCCAGAGACAGCTGCTCGATCTCCCAACCGTACGGACACTCTGGGACGTTGGCGATGATGGCGTTGGGGAAACACGACACCATAACGTAGTCTGGAAGGGGACATTGGGATATTCAGCATTTAGTTGTTTGACAGCAGAGGCTTAAACATACTTTATATTGGAGATATTTTGTTTTCTTTCACACCAGTTGGTAGAAAACACCCAAAATATGCATGTAAGTGTTTTTTTATTGCAGTTTTTCTCGTGGACATTGATGCAAATGTGCACATGTTTAATGAGATAACACCTAATTTGCATATTTAAACATAAAATGTAAAAGATGTTGTCTTCACTCTCAGCTGGAGAGGTTTTATGTTGATATCCGTTAGTCGAGAGTGGAGTTATTTGTTGTTTTTGTTGCTTATTGTGCATTTCTGTGTGTTTTTATATCTATTTTTTAGTTTATTTTCATACGTCTTTATATTAAAAACCTCTTGAGTTGCTTCTTTGCACTGAACGGGATCAGAAGCTCGTTTTATTGGACTTTTTGTGTAAAGATTCTGGTTTTATTCTCCAACTCTGAGCCAGAAATCTTCAATTCAGCAGCGCTCACACACACCAGACGGCTTTATTCTCATCTGTAATCTGAAGGTTTGTTCATTTATCGATCAAAACCAGAAACTTTTATTCTTAATTTTTTTTTTAATAGATTTTTTTGCTGGTGACAGTATTTTCTGATTTGTGGAACAATAAAATAAAAATCCCCTTTGACTCTGGCTTCATCAAATGTTCAGATTTCCGTTGATGAAATTAATATTAATAAGGACGTATTTGGCAAATTTCTAATGCAAACATCAACTGTCTTATTAAAGGAACCAACTCGAAATGTTGATCTGTGAACAGTTCTACTCACCAAACTGTCCCGTTTACGTTCTGACTGTATTCTAAAGGTTTTTACAGACGGGTTTCTTCATTTATTATTCAAATCCTACAACTGAACAAAGACGTTGTTGCTAAAAACACGACTAAAGTGGATTATTTGGGGGATTTTCTGTATAATGGAGTGATTAAACGAGCAAAGGTTTCACTTGTGAAGGCAAATTAGGACATTTTAACTATATTAGACCTAATTTACACATTTAAACAAAACACATCAGACATTTCTTATTGTAAACAATCACCAGAGGAAGTTTCACGGTGAAATCTATTCACTAAACATTCCCCCTGTTCACACGTCTGTAGTACACTTAACTATAACGTGGTTAAATCTACTCATATTGTCTTTCTGCATGCTGCAACTCAACCCCTTCATGTTCATCTGTGATGTAAAAAGGATCGTTCCAGTGACGTCCTGAATGATTTTCAACACGATTAAAGCACATTGTGTGAGCGTTTTCCTTATCTGCACCAAAACATGCTACAGCTTGCATTTTATGAACAATAACAACAAAAAAAACAGCAAGAAATGATTTAAAAAAATGCCCAGATATGTGTGTGACCTCCAGGTTTATGATCCTACTTGTTCTGATAAAGCAGCTGCTAGTGTTTGCAGGATGCCGTCCTCACCTGCTTTCTGTGGAGAACACGTCCAAGCGACCGGCAGCAGCATTAACAGAGCACCGACTGAAGCCATGGTGTGATGCTGCAGAGACATTTAACAATCAGCAATGCTTCAAAACAACACCTGAATCTGTCAGAGAGAAGACCCACCTGACGGGAGAAAGCGTCTTGGACTCGCTGGATGTCAGAGGATCCTCATGGCTCTCCAACACATCACCTGCACCTCGGCGTCTGGGCGGCCGGAGGAGGTTTTTATACCGTCGCAGGAGAAGGTGATCGACGTCCTCCCCCCTCGGCAGGCCTGTGGTCTCACAGCTCTATTGTGGAGCTGCTCACAAAAGCTCTCTGTGCTGCTCAGACATTGACTTTCAAATGACCAGCGTCTCTCAGGATTAGCGCTCGGCGGCTATGCTCACCTTTTCCACAGACCGGCGAACAGAGCATCTTAGATATTACACAGGAAACAGCTGTGACTTGTGAGACTAACGTGAGTCCGTGCATTTGTTGCAGACGACATCGTTTTTTAGCTCAATATCGAGCTCACAAACTCACAGTGTGTAACTTCACCAACAAAGTCGTGAAAAAGACCAACTGATCCAAAGGGTTTGTTTTGTTCTTTTCAACCCGTAACATTAAGTAAGTCAAATTTATTCACATTTATTAGACAGTCTTGGTGTTCTCTGGCAAATGCCAATCTCCCTGCACGGTGCTGGGCTGTAAGCACAAGCCCTACTGGTGGACGTCAGGCCCTCAGACCACCTCATGGAGTCTGTTTCTGACAGTTTGAGCAGGAACATGCATATCAGTGGCCTGCTGGAGGTCATTCTGCAGCTCTGGCAGAGCTCCTCCTGGTCCTCCTGCACAAAGGAGGAGGTAGCGGCCCTGCTGCTGGGTTACTGCCCTCCTACAGCCTCCTCCACGTCTCCTGGTGTACTGGCCTGTCTCCTGGTATCTCCTCCATGCTCTGGATGCTGTGCTGAGAGACTCAGCAAACCTTCTTGCCATAGCTGGCATTGATGAGCCATCCTGGATGAGCTGCACTACCTGAGCAGCTTGTGTGGGTTGTAGACACGCCTCATGCTGCCTCTAGGGCTGAGAGCAACATGTAAGAGTGACCAAAACATCAGCCAGAGAGGACGAGAACAGAGACATGAACCTGCCTTCACCCTGAGTCAGCTGGGATAGACTCCAGCTCCCCATGACCCCAGTGAGGACTAAGCGGTGTGTAGATAATGGATGGATGGATGTTCTGAAGGAAGGCGGTGGCAGGAGTGATCAAACCAGAGACTCTACCTCTAACAGAGGGTGCAGCATTTACTCCATGCCTACCTGCAGACCCGGGACTGGATCCTTCTACAGAGCAGGTCTCTGAAGCCCAGTGACTATGGATGGACATTAGGTGTGTCCTCATGGGTATGAGCCAGTTCCAACACTAGACCCCATGGCTCCTGAGGAGCTACTGAAGTTCACCAGTTGTAACTGTCGTGGAGATTGAGGAAACCAGCGGTGCAGCTGCAAGAAGAATGTGGTCACGAGCATCTGGGCCTGTGGAGTCTGTGAAGGCATCACATGCAGAACCTGCAGTCATGATGTTGTTGAGTCTGAAGAAGACGTAGACGATGACTCTACAAGCTTCTGACACTGTGACTGAGAACACTCTGAGTTTTTTATGTGAAATAAAAGCTGCTGTGGATGTAAATATAAAGTGAGTGTGGCCTTTTTCAACAATGGAGTGTTTGTGGTGAAACATAAATGCTAACAGTCACCTCAGAATCATGAACAAACCCTCATAAGTTACTTAATGCCCGATTTTTTAAAAATCTATTTTTCGTCAATTGGTTATCGGTACTCTAACTGGATCAGGTGTTTTTCAGGGTTTCCCACCGGAGTTGAACTTCAACATGTTAAGGCATGTTATTACACCTTTACAAACATATTGGTGAAGAAACTGTTTTGGTAACGATTTAGTTCTGCAGACCCCGTTCTTCTTGCAGCTGCTGGTTGCTGCAATCTCCATGACAATTACAGCATTTGTGAAATATCTCATAAAATGCTCTGACTATCAACCTTAATGTTAAAATGAGTGAAGCATTTGTTGGAGTATATCCTACTGTAGGTTCTGAACCGTAATGTTTCGGTTAGTCAAGGTTAATCTACATTATTACATCATAGTTTAAGATCTTAGCCATAATATTTTAATTAGTCGGGTAAATGTACACAATAAAAACAACGCTGTGGGGTCCTGACGTTAACATTTATAGTTGCTGGGTAAACAACTATAAATGTAGAAGTCTTGTTCTTCGACTGGAAGGTGCTCAACGTCTTTTAAATGAGCTGTAAAAGTGACTTGATTGGAAATGAAATACAGTACGAAGCTGCAGGCAGCAGACTGTTAGCTTAGCTTGGCTAAGATTAGCATAGCAAAAAACAAAACACATCTGCCACATCTAAAGCTCTCTAATCACCACGTCAGGTGTTGAACGACTATTTCACAGGTTTACTGAGGTTTGTAGAACCAGTAACTAAATTTGACACATCATCTCCCTTAAAATGGTAAATTATCATTTTTACTCGTTGTTTTTGTCGGAATTAAAGAAACAAGGCAACGACATCCATTAATTCCAAACGGCCACCTCCTTCCTTCAAACAATCCTGAAGACGCGTCAACGTAAAACTACAACAGCATACTTCATTCTTACAGACGGACGACGTATTCGCCGTCTTTGTCCTCGTTGCCAAAAAGGACAAAACAGTGGGAAACAGAAAACCATTTAAGAAGCTAAACAGCGCAAACAGACATGTATGGATAGCTTCAGGATGCGATGGCGGCCCCGATAGGAGGAGCCACACACTAGTGGGCAGTGTTCCTCAGAGGGATGAGAGCTTCTGTTCAGATATATAAGGTTTCTCACAGTCTTGTGCTATTAGATATCGCCTTTGTCTCGTCCGCCGTTCTCATGTGTGTGAAACGTGTGTGTTCTCATCGGCCTGTTTACATCCGTCACACCGCTTTGTGCTCAAAACCTCGGTAGCTTTCGTTCTGACTTAAACCTGTGGCTGGTTTCTGACCTGAATTCAGCTGAAAATCAGTGTCTCACCAGAATAAAGACGTGTTCTAGCTCGACTAAAACCTTTAGACGTGACCAAAGTCTGAATCTTGCATGTTGGTGACATGAAGCTCCTTTCACAGCGTCCAGGACCTTCCTGCAAAGACTCCATGATAAGCTGTAAACCGATAGCGGAGGTTAGACACTAATGTCCTTCACAGAACAATCCAAGTCAGCCAGCAATAGAAGGGGCAAACTGCAGACGATTAGCATCTGAATGGAGCGTTGGGGGAATTGGTGAAGGGGTAGTACGGGGAAGATACCGATCTCGGGACGGGTCAGGGGACGGCTAGCGTTACAGCATCTGGTGATGCTAACAATCGGGAGTCGCCGGATTCCTCCAGTTTACGCAACCGCCGGCCGAGATCCAAGAAACGTGCTCCGAGTCGGACAGAGTCGGTGTTCAGTCGGTGCTGGAGCTTTAAAGCCTTAAAGCACCTTTAAAAGTGGACTGAGCAGAACAGAAGCTGCAGTCGGTTTGAATACAACAGACTGGGATGAATACAGAAGCAGCTGCCAGACGACTTGATTTCTTTGTTGTTTCTGGCTCTGGAGAAGCTGACTTGGGTTTCAGCAGGAACCCTCTGAACCCCGAGGACTCTGTGACGTCACATTTATCCTCACTGTGGCTCAGTATGAAGTCCTGCTCCTCCACCATGCTGCTCACCTTGGATATAAAACAGATCATTTTTGTAGATTTTCAGAAAACTTTTCTTTTTGTTTTCTTGAGATAACATCAGTCTAACTGAAGCAGAGTGGATGTGACTCAGTAGAAATGACAAAAACAGAGATAACTGAAGTTTGACTGATGTTGTCTCAGGCAGACGATGGGACGGAGGGTTTTCTGAAGCTTTGTGAAGATGCAGTTCTCTGTTTCTGCAAATGAACTCTTCATATCAGAATAATGACGCTCCAAAAACTATGGTGGACACAAAACAAACGGAGTCTAGATTGTGACGCCCTGCAGGAGGAACAGTTAGCTCACAGCCTGAAATGTTTATTTTTGCTGTATTTTCTTTATATTATTGTGTAAAAATGTGTTCAATAAGTAATGAGTTTGTGAAGTACACGGCGGTCCAAAATCCAGCTTTTATTGTGAAACATTCACCGTCTGTAAACAACATCGAAGTTCTTCAATGAAAATGTTGTTTACTGTGTGTTTAATTCAACATAAATGCAAACTTTTGCAAATACACTCTTGGAAAAACAAACAACAGAGTGGCTGCTCTTGAAAAACATCAGTTTTTATTCTTTGATTGAAGGGAAACAGACATTTATAGATCAGAAAACTAAATGGGTGAGGAAGACGAGCCGAGCTGCAGCAGTAGTGCTTTAGTCAAAATGTACAAAAGTCAATCTAAAACAACAAAACGTCACATTTAGGAATAAACATTTCTTTCTATACAACATATTTACACAATAAATAACTTTAACGCTGATGCAGGTTCAGACTTTGGGCACTTGGCAGGTCCAGTTTGTTCGCTCCGGCTGGTAAATAAAATCCTTCCTGAAAGAGAAACAAGCGGCAGTTAGGCTTTGTGACGTGATCTGTCTTCTAAAGCATTTTCTAAACACGTTTCTGAGATCACACAAGGATGTTTAATGAATGAAAACAGGTTTTACTGCTTTGTCAGGATGAATGAGAGCAAAAAACTCTGAAAGGCTGCAGCTGAACATGTAAGACATTTAAA